GCCAAGGGGCATTGTTCACAGAGGGCGGACGACCCCTCAGGTGATACAATCACAACTTCTCAACAGTCAGGAGTGAGCTACTGCTTTGATAAAACCAAGTATGGCAATATGATCTTAAAGACGTATTCCAATTTAAACCATTTATATTACCATGTTCATAAAGCATTGTTCTTACAAAGAAATAGGTTCTCCTGGCTGCCTGCACAGTTGCTATGCAACATACTTTGTTTACTAGCACCTTCGGGGATTTGGGATACAGCACCTTCTTTATTGGTTTGAAGTCATCTTCTGATATTGATGCATCATTAACTGTCATGTCAAGTCCTTTCGTTCTAAGGGTCAACATCAGACATTTCCTTTGTATTTGTGCACGTGTTCTGAAAGCTTACAGATACGGACAAAAAGGAGCAGTACCATCGCGGATCGTGGGGGCAGTGTGGCATAGTTCAGGCGAGATAGGTTCGTAGGTGATGACGAAGACATTTAAAAAATGATGGCACACAACAAATTAGAAATTTAATGAAAAGAATTCTTGTATTTAATGGCCTCACAGACCACTGCTGTCTGCACCGCTGCCTCCGTTAAAAGATACATTATTACAACCTCCTTCACCTTCGCCTTGTTCATTGTTGTGTGAAATTTTGACTCTGCCCTCCAGTGCCATGTTTTGGCTATATCTATGCCTATATAAAGGACAAATAGAAGTATGAGGAAATGGACAAATCTGTGTGGGTATAAATGAGCCCTGAGGGTTTTCTTTGAGGACACACCAGGACTGACTGACCGACTCCTTTTTACATATCTCTACATGTCATCTTTTAGGTTCATCATGGATTTGCATAGTTGGTTGGTTCGACACTATGGTTGTCGAAGTTGACAATAAATGTTTCCATTTTGTAGCACTTTGTTATAACGAGCTAATTTGTTAGGCCAACTTTTCCCCCTCAAACTCAGAGTAGTACAGAACTGTGTAAAGGAATAAGACATATGTTGTATATGGTTACTACACCACGGCTAACAGCCAATACAGATTGCTTGATTTAAGCTATCCGTATTATTACATGGAGTATTTGGCAGCTAAAGAGTCAGATATTTCCCTCATGACTTGGTTGAGACCAAAAACAGAGCTAAAAGAGAGTGATAATTGGACTTGCACTCGTCAAGTGGACACAAACACATCTCTAAATGGATGATAATGTTGCTCAGTAGCTGCTGGATGTGCAAATACGCGACTGTTTGCTAATACACTCACCATAACGACTTAAAGTGTTAACAATTTTGCTGCATCACAGTGTCAAAAAAAAATCTGTTATTGCAGATTTAACATGGATACTGAAAAATAGTGCTTTTTACTTAACCTGTAAGACTAAGGTCTGTAATAATGACTTGGACATTTTGATCTGTACAGTTTTTTAAATCTGACATAGTCAATAACTGTTCTGAGAAAGAAAGTAAGGAGAAATTTTTGGTGTCAACCTTACTCAGTAGTGTTTTATCCAGGCAGGCTGAGCGGGTGATGATTCTAAGATACAAAGATGAAGACGATAGTTTTATGTCACACAGTATGATTCATATTTTCATTTTTAGGAGCAGCCCAATTCTCTATACGAGCGCCATTGTAGCTACTGTTATTTATTTACACTTAAAAGCCTTTTCCTCTGTCACTGCACTTCCATCTCTTCCATAAACATCATTATAAAACCACCAGTCACATTCAGTATTTGGCCCAAGCATGACTTCTTCATTAAGTGGCCATACTCTTTATAAGGGCAGAATTGTCTTGGGATAAAGAAGTGCTCAGTCATGGAAAAAGAAAGAAATCCCACAGCACTGATACGGTGGAGAGGGTGTGAAAGGCGGCAGGGAGGCAGCGTCAGGCCACCCACACCTGTGAATTAAGTGGATGTCTTGGGATCCCTAAGCTGTTTTAAACTGTTTATAAGAGGCTGTCTGCGCTGATATTAGAACAGTTGGTTTAGCAGTTGACTTTTTGAAATCTGATTTTTTGCTTCTAATCAGGTAAGACATTTATCTCTCTGCACTGCATGTTAATTACTTTTTTTTTCTTATCACAGCCTTGTGTTAATATGCTTAGCTGTTCGGTTTTTAGCAGCATGCAGAGGCTAAAGGAAAGAGACAGAAGATAAAAAAACAGCTTAGGGACTTCAGTGTGCCTGTAAATACAGCCTGAGATAGAGATAATACGCGTGCGTGCGCACACATACACACACACACACACAGCACCATCCCCATTTATCACATTTCATAACTGCAGGCGGAAACCAGCATGATTCAAAAGTGGGTTTTTTTGTCAATAAATATGTGCGTGGTGTTTTATCAGCCAAACCCCAGGAGAAGTAAGAAAAATCACTGCTCGCTCTCAGTCCATACACACACTTAAAAATAATACACACAGTCATACACACACAGGGTATTCTAACAAAATTTTAATAAAGTGACCAATCACTCTTATTAAAAGGACATATGGTTTTATATTCCTCATAAGCCAAACTCTAATGGTTGTTTTTTCCTTCACCAGAACAGATACTGTTCTTACATGCTGCTCTGACAAACCGAGACATTTTCATTTCCACTCTACTAATACAAACTCTCAGCTCTCTCCAACGGCCCTTCAGGAGAAGAAATTGCAATTATTTTTGACTCTGTGGCCGTCATGCAGCAACCCGAGCTGCATTGCGTGCTGCGTTCGCTACTCCCTGGATATCGGACTGCCCAATTACAGTAAAAGTCTGCATGACAGAGACTATATATCTTCAGCGTTTGCCTGTCACTTTTCACCCTGAAAAGGAGACTTTTTGAATGAGCTGTCATCCATCTTTTGATGCACACCTAAGCACACACATGCACACACATATATATTTCATACACAACTGTGAGTTTCATTGTTGAACAGTATGTACTCCTCTTCTGTGACATTTTTCTGTATCTGTGAATTTAGTCATCATAAATATTTTATTTTCAGATCGATTCTTTTTTTTTTTTTTTTTTTTGCAAGTAGTTCATCACCCTGCACCGTCATTTTTGAAGAGTGGGTGTCAGTTTTGCCAAACAGCAGATATCAGGTAATTCTGCATTCGCCACCCTCAGACACACTGTTGGAAACACATCCAGTATATTCAGATCATGTGTTCATATACACTAGCGTGGGTGGAAACATCTATTATATCGAGAGCTGCATTTACATACCAGTGCGCCTGTGTGTGTCTCCCCTAACCGTTTATTTATAGATTTTTAGCTATTGATTCAAACAACCATAGCATGCTTTTACATACTGTGCTCACATATTGTATTGTTCTGTGGGGTAATGTAGCATCCAGATGTGTGTCTATCCTCCTACCTGGGTCAAAGGTGACATTTCTGCCAGTAAACAAGGGGTGGGTTGAACTTAGGCCCTGTCTACATGCATACACATAGTTTTAAAACAGGTATCTTTAGTCTTCGTTCAAAAAAATAGTTCTGTCCACACAACCTTAATTTTACAGAATATCTCCTCCCACATTAAAACTCATAAACAACTCCAAATGCTTGCTGGTGTTAGCTATCTTTAGCACTCACAAAGGTAGTAAAGGGTACAGGCTAATGTTACCTTTTCTCAAAACACCCTCTGGAGATCACATAACAGCTGATCCTCATTCAATTTAAGGATGAAGGAGCTCACTCAAACATACAAGTGATTCTCTGGACATGCTAAAGTTTTCCTTCCATTCTTCATGGACAACAATCCCACTCTGGAAAGCGTGCCACCATCTGCTGGTTTAACCAGGCCTGATCCAAAACTGTCGTTTCTGGTGTACTTTAAACCCCCGATGCTGAGTTGGAGCAAAAACAGTGGGTGCAGCAGACGGCTGTGTTCGTCCATGGAGTGGTACCATAATACAAAGTTTTAATGTAAAGTAGTCATTAGACCAAGTACACAAACCGGTAATCTGCCATTGTTGTTTGTGGCGCATTACACAAAGTCATTACACAGAGACATTTCATCATTTCCCAAATGCTCCGTTTTGCACACAAATACAAAGTAAAACAACAAACAAAAAACAAACAAAAAAATCAACACCTTAAAAGGCATTTTAAAAAGTGGCCTAAAACTCAGTTTGTGTGGACAAGAGGCTAAAATGTAGAGGAAAATATCTGTTTACAAAGATATCCATATACATGTAGACAGGGCTGTATTTATACTAAAGTGCAGTGGAGCACAGTTGCCTTCTTTAACAGCATGTGGGTGGTTCCCAGAGATTAGAAATTACAGATTTACTGTTGCATGCACTCGAGGGATGAAGAGAGATCCTGGAAACAGAGACACTGCAGCAGCACAGACCTCCAGAGCCGCTGTAGAGGTTCCTGCAGCACTCTGCCCTCATTATCATAGGAGCGATTCATGACCACAGTTAACACTCGCCACTGTACTTAAGCAAACAGCACTTTTTGTGATAGTCAAACACAGTGGCATCCTGCAGCAGTCTGACCACAGCTGCAACCCTGATGGATGTGGCTCTCTGCTAATTTGATTTGATTTCCCCTCGATAGTAGAGCCTAGCACATTCTCCAACTGACTCATACTCTGTTTACCTCTGGTGTGTGTGTGTGTGTGTGTGTGTGTGTGTGTGTGTTTATATGGATGTGTGCACGTGCCAGGCGGCCTGTCCTTCTCTGTGTGTCTGTGCCAGACAGTCTGAGAATAGACTGTCTGGAATTTGATGCGCATTGTTGAAAAGCTGTTGCCAGTTTGGCCAATTAGAGGCTTTGTTACAATGTCAGTAGTTTGTCTTTAACAGGACACTTCTGAACACAATGACCTTTTCACGTTTCCTTTCACGGATTCGTCTTGAAGAGCTGAAAGTGTTCTACAATGCTGAACTTTTCCACAACGACAACATGGCTGATGGAAACAAAGGGCATTGTAAAGAAATGTATAATGTGCACTGAAAATAACTGAAACGAACAGAAACATTATCCTTGTCTGTCTGTGTGTCCGTCAGCAGCCAGATGAGGAGGTGGTGGTTGACCAGGGAGGGACCAGCTCTGTGCTGAACATCCACTATGAGAAAGAGGAGCTAGAAGGTGAGTAACGTGCAGTTGGCAAACACCATCAAACTCTTTACTTATATGGTTCTGTTGGGATAAGCTTTTATTTCTTGCTTTTCCTCTGGGTCGACGATATGGGAGGTGTGTGGTTCAGCATGACCTGCTGTCTGTCACAGTGTATCAGTAGTTAAAGATCCTCTCCAGACACATTTTAAAGTATGTAAAAAATACTCTGCTGTGATTAATATTTTGTTTAATATGGTTTTCCCAGATAAAACATTACAACAAAACTCTGAAAAGGGGCTGGAAGCAGATCTACACTTTGTGCCTCATTGAGAAATTCTGGATGTGGCTTGTGCTAGGTTTCTGCTTTTTCTGGTGCTGGCACAGCACTAAAAACCAAGCAGCAGCCTCTGGGGCTGAAAAATGGAGCCAACATGGAAGTGCTAATAACTACAGTTCCCCCAATGGACACTTGAAACTGGTTTGAGAAGCGACTCAATCCCCATAGAGACCCATGTTAAAATGCTCAGCTTTACAGCAGGAATAAACATGTTTACAGCCTGGTAGGTAGCTAACTAACTATATAACTAACTTCCCTGTCCATGACAACTGTATTAAGGCTTAAAGTTATGCATAATTAAGGGTGTGGCCACTCTGAATGACAGGTTGTCTACAGATAGTTTCATCAGCTTCTCAGTCAGATCCACCCCTTACTCCTCCACAGCTCCACCCTCCCATCCAAATATGGTCACTTCTGGCCCCCACGAAACCAAGATCGCCATAGCCAAAATGCCAAACTCTTCAAAATGGAAGCCCATAACCAATGGGTGACATCACAGTAGCTACATCCATTGTTTTATACAGTCTATGACTGAAATGAAGTGTGGCGATAGGTCTAGCTATGGGAGAGTAGCACCACACTGACTGGTGAAAAAGCAGTGCACATCAAGATGACTAATGTTGGTATTAGATGAAACATCGGAGAGTTTCAGCCATTCATGTTTGAGCCTCAGTCAGACCCAGACTTAGATAAGGAGTCTGTTGTGCACCAAAATCGGCAACCAGCAGACGTATCAGAAAGGTAAGTATAGTTAGCATCTTTTATTTATGTTGTCTGTTAGCTTGTTAGCTTTTAGGCTAACAGGCAGTGGCTGACACAGTATTATGAATCATGCATTAATATCTGCTACAATGTTACAGTGTGTTCACATTGAGCTGGTTTAAATCTAAAAACCGCACACTATAATGTTAGCTGTCAAAACTGTCACTATGCTAATGCTAATTCTGCTAACTCTCTGTACTGAGAAGTCTGCTCTGTGCTGGAGGTTTCAGGTTTCTTTCCTGGTGTTACATTGAAGTCTGTTACCCCATCAATATGTGTTTCCTGTATTAGATAGTGACTGGCTTTTGCATTAGTGACGGCATACGTTTGAATCTGAGATTTGAGGGGGGAATTGAGGGAAGTACAGGAATGTAAACACACCTCTCTTGTGACAAACCTTTTACTAATACAAGTCAGTATAGTTAAGGTCAGACATTTTAGGGGGCAAAACAAGAGAAAAACACATTTTTCAGTGGAGATCTTCAAAATAATTTATTAAGAATGTATTTTCTGATCTTTGGTTGCTAGGGGCGCAATGTGCGGTTGACGTGTCTCCCTCAGCTCCCACTGATATGCTCATAATTTAAGGAGTTTTGCAGTTACATCGTTTTTTCCCTACTCATACTCTCAGTATCTGATTTATAAGGTGCTTGTGTACATTTTGGATGCAACAACCAGTCGTTGATGAATTTGAGAAGTGCAGGACGTGAGAAAGACGAAGGTCAAGCCATAGAGAAGCATGGGAAGCGTGGAAAGTCCACAATGGCGACGGGCACGGAATCAAACATTCTCAAGGCGATTGCCGAACTGAAGCTGGACTTCTCCACTTTTAAAGTGGGTCTTTCTGCCACGCTGGATTCTCGAATTGAGACTGCTACTCAGCTTCTTCGAGGGGACATTACACATTTTAAAGAAGAGATGTGCCCCGCTATACTAGGTCTAACAGAAAAAACGGAGTTGCACACCACCAAAATCAGCGATCTTGAAACTGCTGCCACCACCGCTTCGGACACAATTACGGCGCTGGATAAAGAAGTAAAAAGACTGTCTAAGGAAGTGAAGGCTGTGTAACAGAAATGTGAAGATCTGGAGGGGTGCTCTCGCAGAAACAATCTCAGGATCTTTGGCATCAAAGAAAACGTGGAGGGTCCCCGTCCCACCGATTTCATCGTGGTACTGCTGAAGGACACACTGGATAGCAAGCCTGTCATTGACCGCTGCCACTGCATTTCCCGGGGCAATCCAACCAGCGCCGCCAGCGAGTCAAGAGGGGCTGCTATTTTAGTCAATAAAGCCACACCATTTATTGCCACAGATGTGATAGCTGACAATAAAGGTAGATATGTTATAGTAACCGGGAGATTATTTTCCATTCCCCTTGTTTTGGCCAATGTATATGCGCCCAATTGTGACGATACACATTTTGTATCCACATTTTTATCTAATATTCCAAATTTGGACTCACACTTGCTAATTTTAGGGGGAGACTTTAATTTGGTGATATCACCAACTTTAGACAAGTCTCAAAGGGCCACTGCTACATTGAAATGTGCATTATTAATCCAACTGTTTCTCCAAAAATATGGCCTCTGCGATGCATGGCGCTTTTTGCATCCCTTAGCCCGACAATACTCTTTTTTTCTCTCATGTACACCATACATTTTACCGCATTGATTATTTCTTTATGGACAACAAACTTTTACCCAACCTTCAGCATTCTAGTTATGAGAGCATAGTAATCTCTGACCACGCTCCCCTTATTCTCAAATTGAAATTTCCACACTAAGAGTTATCAGTGGCGGCTCAACTCACTCCCGCTCTCAGACAAAAAGTATATTCAGTTGATATCTGCAGAGATCCCTTTATTTTTTGAAAATAATATAACTCCAGGTATGTTCATTCATTCATTCATCTTCTAACCGCTTCATCCTCTTGAGGGTCGCGGGGGGGCTGGAGCCTATCCCAGCTGACATTGGGCGAGAGGCAGGGTACACCCTGGACAGGTCGCCAGACTATCGCAGGGCTGACACATAGAGACAAACAACCATTCACGCTCACATTCACACCTACAAACAATTTAGAGTTATCAATTAACCTAGTCCCCAATCTGCATGTCTTTGGACTGTGGGAGGAAGCCGGAGTGCCCGGAGAGAACCCACGCTGGCACGGGAAGAACATGCAAACTCCGCACAGAAGGGCTCCCATGCCCGGGATCGAACTGGCAACCCTCTTGCTGTGAGGCGAGAGTGCTAACCACCACACCACCGTGCCGCCCACTCCAGGTATGTTTTATTCTATTATATGGGAGTCTCTAAAAGCATATTTGCGCAGTAAAACTATAGCCTATGCAGCCTCTATTAATAAGGCACGCACACAACGTCTTTGCGACATAAGCAATTTAATTGCCTCACTAGATAATAAATATTCAAGAGACCCCTCGCCATGTTTATATACAACGCCTCCTGTTCCAATCGGAGTATGATAGCATTACCACTGTACAAGCAGAGAATCTGCTCCAACGAGCTCGCTATAGGATTTATGAGCAGGGTGACAAGACCAGCAAATTGCTTGCCCATCAGATCCGCAAATCCGAGGCATCGCGCCTTATCCCCCAGATAAGAACTAGTTCAGGTGCCATTACTGTTGTCCATGAGGAAATAAACAATCGATTGAAAGAGTTTTACACTTCCCTTTATACTTCAGAGTCCCCACGGGACCCTCAGTTGATTGACTCTTTTTTCGATGGTCTTAATATTCCATCAATTAGTGGAGACTCTTATAATTGTTTAGAACAGGGATTCTCATCAGAAGAAATAGAAGCCGCCATATCGCTCATGCAGAATGGGAAAGCAGCCGGCCCAGATGGCTTTCCGAACGAGTTTTACAAGGCTTTTGCCAAACAGCTTTCCCCTTTTTTAACATTATTATTTGCAGAATGCCTTGAGAACTCATCTCTTCCTCCTACTTTTTATCAAGCATCCATTTCCCTACTTTTAAAGAAAAATAAAGACCCATTAGAGCCTGGGTCTTATCGAGCAATATCCCTCCTAAACTCGGACTATAAAATTCTGGCAAAGCTCCTAGCAAAGCACATAGAGGGTCCTCTGCATGAAATAATACATTTTGACCAAACAGGGTTTATAAGAAATAGACATTCATTTTTTAACATTAGACAACTCCTTAATATAGGCCTACTGTATTCCCCAACCTCAAAGGATCCTGAAGTAGTAGTATCTTTTGACGCCGAGAAGGCGTTCGACCGCCTTGAGTGGGACTATTTGACAAATGCCCTTCAAAGATTTGGATTCGGCCCTAAATTTGTAACATGGATCAAGATCTTATATCTGTCCCCTATGGCCTCAGTGCGCTCAAACAACATATCATCAGAGTATTTCCCTCGTCAACGTGGCATGAGACAGGGGTGCCCTTTGTCTTCCTTGTTGTTTGCTCTGGCGGTTGAGCCTCTTGCCATAGCTTTATGAGCTAACAATGATATCCAGGGTATTTCCCGTGGGACTCTGAAGCTTAAACTTTCCTTATACGCTGATGATTTACTTTTGTTTATTTCCAATCCAAATGACTCCCTACCCAAGGCCTTAACGGTTAAGAAAGCATTCGGCAAAATATCAGGGTATAAGCTGAATGTGGGGAAAAGCTGTACCCAGTAAACAATCCTGCCTTGAACACTTCATTTTCACATTTTCATTTCAGAGTGGTCCGTGATCAATTTACATACCTAGGAGTAAAAGTAACACGAAATTACTCAGACTTATTTAAGGCAAATATTGCTGTCCTAGTTGATAGTCTTAAGCAATGTTTTGTATATTGGAAGTCACTACCTCTCTCACTCATTGGCCGGGTAAATATTATTAAAATGAATGTGCTCCCGAAGTTCTTGTATTTTTTTCAACGTTTACCTGTTTCCATACCT